TACGATTGGGCCGAATTTCACTGAACATTTCACTTTCAGATCCTGTATTAGAAATTAAAAAACTTCAGGCAAGTGTTAAATTCGACATGCCGAGCTATTTTAGTTTGCAAACTATTGCAGAATATGAACTTTGATGGTTTCTGAACTTTGATGGTTTGACATTTTTGACAGCTTTAGTCTTGTACAGCCAATCAGATTATTTGAACCATTCTAACAGGAATTCTGATTGGCTTATTGTAGCGTGCTTTATGAGAGACTCAAGAAGTAGGAAGAAACACTCGACTACGTCTCGTGTTTCCCCCTACACTTCTTTCGTGCTCTAGCCGCTCCCTGCGTGCTTTACAACAGAACAGAGCACAGTCAAGGCTTCTCTATTAGTTAAATGGACTGTTGGAATTTAACATCAATGTCAAACAATTATTCCAGTGAGTCACTCATCAATAATTATCAGATGAGACCTTAACCCTTTAACCCCTGGAAGTGACTGGCATCTAATTTCTCCACACCATATTACACCTGAATCAAACATGAAGGTCAGGAGAATAAAGGAGCTGATCACCAACTGAAAGAAGCTCTTGATTTTTAGACAAATTCTCCATGTTAGCATCTTAGGAAACATTTAGAGAGCAGTATGCAGAATATGTATAATTACTTCAGTGAGTAATTATCAAATAGGAAATATTTCAATAAAATAAATTGATACTAAAATGGAAAAGTTGAGAGACAGCTACGCCTAAAAAAACTAAGTATAAAGTAATTGTTAATCAAAATTTAAGATTTAGTGTCATAAAAACCAAATTTAAGCAACAAATTAAAGCAAATCAAAACTTAACAGTGAAAAAAAATGTCGCATAATCAAGGAGAATGCCAGAGGCTTTGAAAAGACAGGCTTACTATTGATGCATATTCTAGGTATGCATATCACCCAATAATTGAGCTTACAGTATTGCAAAATGAATGCAATCCAAGATTAATTTTGACACAATTTAAAATTGCCCTCGACCTTCTTAAAATGTGTTTTTGGTTTAAACGAGGAATAATTTTATCTCCTCAAATAAATTCTGAGCCCTCTAAACTAGTTGAAACATCTTTGTTTGACTTCGTTGCCAGAGTTATAGTCACGTGACTTCGTTGCCAGCCTTATAGTCACGTGACCTGACATTGATCCAGTATTTCGATTGCCGGAATTAAGTCAAGATCAGGCCTGAGCTAAGATGATGGACGGAGCGGTGGGAAACAATTCTAAGTGGACAGCTGGGATTATCATCTTAGTTGACGAGATCTTAAAAGGTCTTACCAAAGATACAAATTCTTACTATCTCTGTATGAAATTATGGTCCTTAGGAGTCAAGAGTTAAAGTGGGAAAAGTTTCTGTGATTCCAGACGAAATTGAAGAAATTTCCCACGAAGTGAAACAATTCTCCTTCAGATATCCAGTCGTTATAACTACTGGCGTAATTGGCCTTACAATGCACGGTATCGCTTAAGCCTTTGACGAAGATCTGGTTCTTAATGATGAATTAGTGAAACTACTTTTGAATTCTTATCAGCATGAAATTAACTCGTACAGTGTAACAAATTGCAATGCAGGCTCCTTTTTTCGCAACTGAACACTTGGATGTTCTTACAAAGAAGAAAGTCAAACTTTATTACAGAAGTCTTGTTGAAATTTTTCATCTGATCGAAATTTAGGCCCATAAACTTAGTTAACCCTTAAACTCCCAAGATCTCATTAGTAATTCTCCTTACTGTCTGCTATACAGTTCTTGTGATGTTAGTTTAGAGAATTTTGTATTGGATCTACTTATAATCCCCTTACTGATATTTTTCTTTTTTCTCATCAGTTGTCTGCTTGATGTTGTATTGATATTGTAAGGAGAAATTCTGTCTTGGTCACTCATGGAAGTTAAAGGGTTAAGTAAGTGTTTAAAATGTCTTTTCTAACAAGGAATTTCAGGCCTTGGGCCATTCAAAACAACAATGTCTGTGATTCATATAACTAGTTATTTGGTGTTTTTCCTCTACACTCTACAAAAAAATCTCAGAAAATCTATCACTACATCATACCTGCCCAAATAGGTGCATTGCACCTTAGGTTGTCTCACAGTTTTGCTGCAGTTTGATTTTAGTATGAATATTCTAATGAAAACACATAAACGGTTATAACATTTGATACAACTATTCAATTATCTTAAGAGATTACCATGAAACAAAGCTTGACATGAGACCTCCAGGAATGACTTAGGGGCCGTTGAAAATAGTGGCAATCTCATTCAGTTAAGCCTTAAGAGCACCCATGCATCAAAGGGGATTGCTCTTTAATTCTAAATAAATGACATAATACTGGTATTTACATAAGGCCACAAAATTAGTAACACAAGCTCCAAGCTGCAACTAAAAAAAGGTGGGTAAATTTGCAAAGTAAGTTGCCAATTTGGCAATCTAATTTTTGGCGACTTGTGCTAAGCAATAATGTGTCACAAGTTGTAATGTTTTCACTACTGTTATTCAAATATGAAGTCAAATTTAGATAGAAATCTTCTTAAAATATTACTCAAGCTAAGTCATCATATTCTATTAAAAATTATCTCTTTTGGTATCCAAGAAAACCAAATTCAGCCACAAATACGCACTTTGCTGTTATTGGCTCTGTGCATCATATAATATTCAAAGCATCTTCTATAATTTTTTTTCTGGCAAAAAAAATTCGGTGACCAATTTGGCGTTTTTGGTTTTTAAGTGACTTTGAAAACATTTCAGCTAAGAGCACTAATTATACAAGACACCATAAAAACTAAAATCCATCCAAATTTGATATGGTAATGAACTGATGGATTGCAATTGCACCAAAAATCAAGGCAATAAAAAACTATCCTCTTTTATTTTACAGAGGAGCACAATAGCATAATCAATTTCTGTTGTGTTGTTACAAGAATAGGCTGTCATTGATCAAAATTTCAACAAAAAAAAATCAGGGGGAAAAACAATTTTCAAAATATTGATTATTTTACTAACTTCACACTTTAACTCGTCTTGTTTTCCTCAAAAACCAAGTTTTTCTAATTGTTTTTCCAATTGTATCCATTTCAAACACAGGATGCTCTATACCCTTGACACTTTGCCAAGTGTCAGACTCTGGTGTGCTATGCACTAAGCAGTTTTAGTAGCCCAGTGTCCCAGTTCATGTAGAATTCAATTATATCATTGCTGCTACAATTTGCAATAATAATTTTGTTCTTCTCCGAGAACTATGTCCACTGGGCTTTACTAAGTAACTTTGCTTCTAGAAATTAATATTCAATTGTTATTGTTAGTGGCTCAATATTTAAAGATTGCACTTTACTCCCTCAAGCTTGAGAAGACTCTCAAATAATCAGTCCTTATTTCAAACATACCAACAAGTACTTAACTTAGTTTTTGCATTCCATTTAGTTGTTGCAAAGATGCACCTTAAGGCTCTTAAACTCAGTCTGGTTTTTCTCGTGTTACCCTATCACAGAAACAGATTTCTGTTTCCACCATAGAATTTGCCTGAAATAATAATGTTATGAAATATATATTTGCATACAACACTATAACTTAGATTTAAAATGAAATTGAAGTGTAAAATGAATTTTATGTCTTCTAGCATAAGCACAGTGACTGCTTTTGGAAACAAGTGGGAAAAAAATATCTTATCATGTAAAAGCAGTACTATCTGATATTCTTAACCCTCTAACTCCTAATCCCTAACTCCCTCCTATGATATTTCACTTTTTTTCTCATCATGTTTCTGACTATGTGAAATTATTTTAAGGAGAAATTACCAAATGGCCCTCACAATTCTTACATTGAGGAGTCTCTACCCTTTCTTTTGTAAGATCTAAACATAAATTCTCCTCACTGTCTTTGATACAACTATAGTAATTGGAGTTCTGAAAATTTGTTGTTTAATAAAACAGTATCCTCATAATGATATTTAACTTTCTTCCCATAACCTTTCTGACAGATGATATAGCAATATTGTAAAGAGAAATTACTCATGGGCTACTCTCAGAAGTAAAAGGGTTAACCTTCTCTCCACTGGAAAAATAATTAATATTATAATAACCTATTACTATATTTTAGGTCCACTTAGCCCTACCTCTCTAAACAAGGATACTAAGCAGGATGTGAATGTGAAGATACCTCCATGATCCTGGAGATGAATCAAACACAATTGCTTGCCTCAAAGGTGCCAGGGCTATTATAAAACAGACACTTCAGCTGTATTCTCTTGATGAGCTGAGCATCAGTTTCAATGGTCACAAGGACTGCACTGGGCTGCTCTGCCTTTTGCATGCTGCAATGAATAAATTATCACTACCTGCCCAAGAGCTAAAGGCCCTATACTTTCTCTACAAGTCACAATTTCCACAAGCAGAAGAGTTCATCTCAGAAACCACCAGAAGGTACAACTTGAATCTCATAACAGGAAACATTAGAACAGGTATGAGGACATTGAAAGAAACTCAACCTAGAGCCAAGGGTACACATCACTAGGAAGCACCCACAATACTAAACCTAAGCCTCCCTTGAAATGTAGTGATGGTGGTAACAAGTATAAACCAGCCTACATGTTGGAGGATGGGAATCTAGAGAGGGCAGGGAGAATCTGATTGACCTTTTTGTTAATTAAAGAGCATTGTTAGATTAAATTATGCCCCAGATTTCTCATTTTTGGAACAATCAACAGTTGGACAAAGACTGAGCTGTGCTGTAGATTAAGACTAAAGAGGGTTATTTCAACAAAATACTTGTAAAATTAAATAAATAATCAAATTGATAAGTGTGCTCTTTGTTTTTGTTTATTTTACATTACACTCATTTCTAAATTTAAGCAATAACTCTTCCCTAAAAATGCATAGCAACTAAGACATCACACTACCAAACCTTATAATTGCATAACTCAATATCCTGCACCAGTATGAATTCAACCTCTATTTCTGAATTGTCTTCCGAATTTTTTCACCTTTCATCTGAGATATTCGCAGAAAATCATCAGATGTCATAATTGTATAGCAGGTTGTTATGTTTTTACAAATTTTTGAAATAAACTTATGTCATAAGCTATGTCATCATCTTCTATAAACATTTGCCTCTTTTGGTTATCCAAGAAAACCAAATGTCAGCCACACTGCTCTTTCTAAACACATGCTTTGCTGTTATTGGTTCAGTACATCATTAAATGATCAAAGTGTCTTCTTTACTTTATTTTCTGGCAACCAACATTTTATCTCTGGTGACCACTTTATTATTTTTGGTTGCTACTCAAAAAAGTTACTTTAAAAGCATTTCAGCTTAGAGTACCAGTTATACAACACCCTTAAAACTAAAATCCATCTAAATTTAATATTTATAATTTTTTTTTACCAAAAAACAAGGAAATAAAAAATTGTTTCCTCTTTTATTTCATGGAGGAGTACAGTAGCATAATCAATTACTTTTGTGTTGTAACAAGAATTGGATTTGTCATGGATCAAATTTTAACCAGGGAAGGAGTTAGTTGTTTGAAAAGTGGTTAAAGCTAATCTAGGATTAAAAGTTAACCTTGGCTCTAATTTCTAGGGGAGAAGAGCATGTTTAAGAGTTAAGGCTTTATTGGGTTTTATCTCAACATGACTTAAAACTAACAGCAAAAAAACGATCCCTTTGCAAGGCCATTAAAATGAATTAAAAATTTACACTAACCCTGGTTTATGTTAATTGTGCTGTGAATGACCAGGCCCAGGTTGTCAATGTGGAGAAAGTGTACAGTGTGTCCACGTTTTTAACCATTTCTCTCTCAACTCTGATAGTATTTTTGGCTAATGTACATTATGCAAGTTATTAGAAAAGAGAGATGGTACGTTTTGAGCTTAGTAAAGAAATAGAGAAAGATGTTGGCTTTCACAATTTAAAAATTTAAAGCATAAATTCAACATTTTTGCATCATTTAAAAGTGTAGATTAACAAGTAAGAAGGAGGACATCATTTTTCTCCTTAACTCATTCTTGTTTTCTCAAAGAATTGAGGAACTTGTTGATTACCAATATCCATTTCAAACATGAGATGCTTCATACCACTGACAGAGAAGGTATCCAGTCAACTCGCCGACGCCAACTCGCCGACGTATAAAATCGAGTAGAGACGTCGGCGAGTTGGTCCTCAATCCAATACAACTTACTAGTAGTTAAACATACAGAAAATTAAACGATATTTAGTAAAAAAACACTGGCGAACATTGGTGAACATTAAACAGAAGCTCAAACATGGGTTAACATTGGTGAACATCACCAATGACTATAACAGCTTATTAAAGACGCGAACGAGTTATTGTGCGACAACAACACCGTAAAGACTCATCATGTCAATCGCTCAGATTTTTTAGAGAAAACTTGGCTTTCTAGACAAGATGTTTAGTAAAAAGCAATTCTTTCTATTTGCAACAAAGTTTATAAGGATCTCAAGGTGAATAAAGCGAAGTAAACATCGCTAATGAACAAAATTGGCTGTAGACGCGAATGAGTTGTGTGACAACAACGTAAAGACTCATCATGTCAATAGCTCAGATTTTTTAAAGAAAACTTGGCTTTCTAGACAAGATCTTTAGTAAAAAACAATTATTTTTATTTGCAACAAAGTTTATAAGGATCTCAAGGCGAATAAAGCAAAGTAA